TCCAGAATCAATAAGCCAATTATTGTTCTCACTTTGTTGTGTGTTAGTGTTGTCTTGTTTATTTAATCCATTCAGTGAACCAGACTTTCTATCCTTTGAATTGTCTCTGCCCCCTCTATTCTCTCTGTGATTTGGTGGGCTCCTATATCTATGCCTATCTATGGAAGGCTGTCTATAATCGTATTTGTTTCTGTATTCTGATCTATATCTTTCTTTTAAGAATTTTGGGCAATCTCTTCTATTGTGTTCCCTGGATCCACAATTATGACATTTAAATGTTCCACTATATTTTTCTTGGAAAGCTACTTTCCTATATGGTTTATGTTCTGTGTGATTGTTAGAACGATTTCTTCTAGAATTATCTTCTGTTATCAATTTGTTAGATAGGCTTTCTATGGATAAATACCCTAGATTGATTGTGTCTAAATGTGACATAAAATTGTCCCATGATGGGTCAAGTGAGTTGATAATGACACTTTTCATTGTTTGGTCTGAAATCACCTCCCCCCTCAAATGCAGTTCAGCTCTTATTTTGTTCAAAGATATTAAATGTTCACTTATGGAAACCCCTGGTTTTATCCTAGATGAAAAGAAGTCTTTAGATATCCTTGTGGTGGTGGCTACACTGTCACTGTGAAACAAATTAAACATGCATTGAATAATTTCTGAAACAGTCAAATTTGGCTTAATGCTGTGATACATTGCAGGAGACACACTAGATATTATTAAGAAAAAGGCTCTATGGTGTAAACAATCTATTTTTAGTGTCCAAGGTCTTTTTGGGGGACTAGTGATAAAAAACAGTAAGTTTTCCTTCATAAAGACAACCTGGAGCTGTTGATACCATTCTTGTAAATTAATGCCATCAACCCTTAGTTTTGGGAAGTCACTGGGTAAATTTCCGACATTATTGGGTCCATTACTTACAACCTGAGGTAGTCCGTGGTCTCGTAAATGCAGAAAATTGCAAAACGGCGTGGGGATGCTCGCTACGAGTCTGCATGATCTTCTCTCCTGTTCATGTCTTCCCGGATCGTCAGCGTAGTTTCGCGCATGCGCGATGTTCATTTCTTCTTCGGCGTCGTCGTGGAAGGTTCTCCTCACTGCGGTTTGCTCGCTCTGCTCTTCTTCAGATGAGTCGGTCTCTGGTTCGACTTTGGGGGTTCTGGCGACGGTGGCTGTTCTTCCTCTTCTATTGAAAGCGTTGGTGCTTGCTTCGGTCTGCGGTGTGGGGCGGTATCGGCAGGGCTCTCTGGGTTCCGGCGTCAGCGCTCTAGTAGTCAGGATGGGAGCGGGCAGGTCTTGAGGCATTGGCTTGCTCGTTCGCTTTTTTGGTGTCTTTTTAGTAATTTTCAGTTTTGGCCCAAATGCAGCAAAGAGCGTTTTCATCGCTGATTTTATTTGGTGTTTTGTTGGATCTTCCTCGCTTTCTGGTTCTGATTCTTCTGAAGTGTTTGAATCTTCCTTTTCGTTTTCGTTGTCCGATAATATTTTTCGCGCCAGAAATTTTGAATTGAGCTTGCTGATTGGCTCTGCTTCGTTCATCTTGGAGGCCGGTTGAAACCAAGATGGCTGCCATTCAAATTTTTGCGCGGGATCATCGTTTTTCTTCTTTGTAATGATTTTCTCCGCAGTCATATTACTCACTATTTTTGGATCTTTGGGTTTTTCATTGGTGATGTTTTTCTCTCTCGCTGCTCCGCTGTTCTTTAGCATATCTTGGAGGTCCGCGATGAGGCTTTCATCATTCTTCTGACTTTTCAATAGTTTTAATATCTCTGACCTGAGTTCGTTATTTTCTATTTCGATTTCCTCCTGGTCATCAATTATTTCTTCGTCTTCAGTGGTGTATTCTTCGGATTCTCTCGAAATTGCATTCGTGGATTCGTTGATTATTTCTTGTTCCGTTTCCACTTCTTTGCTGTAGGCCCTGGTGTTGGGCCTATCTTTCTTAGACATTTTAAAGCCTTTTATTGAGTCAATTAACCATCCTCTGCTACCAGTTTGTTGCAATATTTTCAGGATCAGACTCAATAAGATCAACAAGAGTTAAAGATTTAACTATATATTCTTTTATTTACATTAGGCATCCTATATTCACTGAATATTCACAGATAGAAGCAAGGGAAATGGTGTAGGTAGCTCCTTATATATACAATGGGTGGAGCTATATGTGGGAGTGGTGAATTATGAATACATTAAGAAGTGAAGAATAAGTTAACCCCTGATACCCTGTCTGTACACTATTTACACATTGTAGAATAAGGCATTTATATCTGACAAATACATTCTACAGTTCAAGTTTTGGCTCCTGTCTACAAGTTCAAGAGTTTATATTCCAAAACTCAGCAATTCTCCCACTCCAAATCCACGTAGATTCAAGAATATGAGTGTGATTTTTCTTTCAACTTGGTCTAAACTATATTCTCTTCCTCATTCCAAGTTCCTGCCTGAAATGCTTTTATCCACTCCTTCAACATAAGCACATCCTTTTAATGGGCAAAGCCATCTCTATCAACTTTAGGAATGAAAACTCAAATGCACATTTGCAACGTGGCATTAGACTGGATCACGTGAAATCTTACATCAAGGTCATTAGGGGTCAGTCTGCTTTTCCAATAAGTCCTTATCAGAGAATTTCAGCTTCAAGCCCTCTTTCTTCACTAAAATAGGCAGATATCCAATATTATCTCATCTGAACAGCCCTCTCACATACCAATGATAATATTCTTGTAAATTAGTGTTTCTCAACCTTAAATCAGTGATATTAATATTCTCTTAAATCAGTGTTTCTCAATCTTGGCAGCTTGAAGATGTGTGGACTTCAACTCCCAGAATTCCTCAGCCAGCCCTGCATTCTTGACTTTATCAAGTCTTGGATGAAATTCTAAAGCAAACAATGTAGGATGGAATTCAGCAGGTGGGGAAGAAAAACTACTGTACATTGGATTTACACTTATTTAATGCTTAAAAGTCGTATCCAATATGTTTACTATCCAGTCATATCTTTAATAGTCCCTCCTATCTGTCACGTTGGTATTACATTATCATAATGTTGGGGCCCTCAAAATTTTTGTGCCCCTTGGGCCACAGATTGGGCACCTATCTGGATTGTCAGGCCTTTTTGTATACAAAGCAGTTTCCCCTGATATCTACTTTCTCATAGTAAGTAGGCAAATCAGTTTCAATTAGTCCTGGAGATTATCAGACATGAAATATCTATCTATCTGTCTGTCTGTCTGTCTGCCTGCCTGCCTGCCTATCTATCATCTATTTATTATCTACTATCTATCTATAGATATACAGTGTTTCCCCCAAAATAAGACCCTGTCTTATATTTTTTTTGAACCCCGAAATAAGCGCTTGGCCTTATTTTCAGGGAGGTCTTATTATTTTGGGGCGCATGAAGCAAGATGGGGCTCCTCTTGCCGTCTTACCTGATTTTCGGAGGGAGGCTTATTTTAGCGCATGCGCTCAAAAGCCCAATTGGGCTTATTATCAGGGGATGTCTTATTTTCGGGAAAAACAGGGTAGATATAGATAGATATCATCTATTTATCATCTATCATCTCTCTATCTATCATCTATCTCTCTTTCTATCATCTATCAATCTATCATCTATCTACCTATTATCTATTTATCATCTATATCTGTCTGTCTATCTCCTGGTTTTTTGAAGGTAAGATCTGTTTCCATTGGTTTTCCCCATCCATTTAAGGCAGTGTTCCTCAACTTTGGCCACTTGGAGATGTATGGACTTCAACCCAGTTTCTAGCATTCTATACTAAAGTGGCTCTTTGGTATACGCTACTAGTATCATATTTATGTGTTCATTGGTCATATTTATGGCATTATATTCTCATGATAAAGCTAGCCTGCAAGAGTTAACAGCATGAAACAAAACACCCATCATTGTAGCATGCTACTCCAGACTCAGTTTGATCATTGGAAGAGCCGATTCGTAGCTCAGCTGAGATCAGTTTGTCTCCACCCAATGCTCATGAAAAAGTAGGATAGAACTGTGAGAAGTCCCATGTCTTTAAGAAGTTTCAGACATACGTGGCTTGTGAGCCTGCATGAACTAGAGATCACTTTTTCCCTTTCAAGTCCAAAACAAATCCAGAGCTCATGATTATTCTGATGCATTTCTCCAAACAGCACAGAGCAAAGTGGGATTGTTACTTCCTGTAGCTTGCCAGATAATTCTCTATCTGTACATACCACCACTGTACAGCAGATGTGAAGTTTGTTTTCCCTTCAGAAAGACATGGTTCACCAGACCATGCTCAAATATGATTTATTAGATATTTTGCTACGTAGAAATAGTTTTGGGCTTATAACATATTCCTTAATCTGCTATTGGCATAATTCCTCTCTACCATTTTATGTTTGACAATCAGGATCCTGAACCTAGGTTAGGTAGCTCAGTGGATAAAATGCTGAGCTTGTCAATCAGAAAGGTCGGCAGTTCGGCGGTTTGAATCCGTAGTATAGGTCTCCTGCGTGAGCAGGGGGTTGGACTTGATGACCTCCAAGGTCCCTTTCAACTCTGTTACTGTTATAACCATAAAACCCACCTTGAAAACTGTTTAGTTAATAATTCCTTTTCTTGACATTATCCATAAAACCTGGGCAAAAAAGAATCATTTTTGTCCGTGATGTGCCTTTATAAGGGAATACTGAAATTTCACAACCCTTATATATGTTGATAATAATCATAATAATGATTTATTAAATTTGAATGCAGCAACAACCAAACAAAAATTACAATAACAGATAAAAGAGAGCAAGTGCAATAGACCAAGTGAGCAGACCATACAGATTTCTGTTCTACATATTTTATTGGAAATTCCTTTACAACTTAAATGTCAGAACTGTCTTTATATGAAAATCGAAGATGCGAGAACAGCTTTGGTTGGTACCAGAAATAAAGGGAAGTAAATATTGGGAAGTAGACAGAGAGAAAACGTAATTATATAAATCAACTGAAATGCCTCCTGTCAATTCAAAACATAAGAAAGGTGTTTATTTACAGGTAAGATTTGCTTATCAGAATATCAACATCATAGACGTGAGATTGATTCTCATAATCCATCCATTTCTTTCATCTCTTCCCTTTTTCTATTCCTGTTGACACACAACCTCCAAGAACATTTCAAGAATGTCTAAATTTGGAATACTCTTTTTTTAAAAGTTCAGATGGACATTGAAGATGGTACATCCTTGGAAGAAAAATAAGGTACAGTTCCATATTTGCTACAAGGAGATCATGACAAATATTAATCCTCCCCAGAACGATCTTCAGGAAGATTTCCTAAATCATCCCGCTCAGGCAGTGGTGGCCAAGGTGCCGTTGGCAGCAGGGGTAAGGGTGGGTAAGGATCATCAGGAAATGGGGGATTAAGTGATCCAGGAAATTGCCCTGGGTTGTGAGGCCCCAAGGGCTTTGGTGGTTGTGGAAATTTGGGTTGCGGGGGATGTGGTGATATAGGAGGACCTTCTGGCCAAGGTTTTCCAGGCACTAGAGGCCCCAAGGGCTGAGGACCTTCTGGTTTTGGTGGTCCTTCTGGCCATGGTTTCTCTGGAACTGGAACCAATGGACTGTCAGGTTTCGGGACAGGAGGAATGCCAAGTGCTCCAGAAGGACCAGGCCTTGAGGGATCTGAAGACATGATGAGATACTATGGAAAGAAGAAGGCCTGGGGAATCCATAAAGAAAAAAAAATGACAATTTTGTAAAAGTTGATAGTATCCATCTGTTAACAGAACCTGATATATAGCCAGTGGTGGGATTCAGCCAGTTCGCACCACTTCGGGAGAACTGGTTGTTAACTTTCTGAGCAGTTTGGCGAACTGGTTGTTGGAAGAAATCATTAGGGCAGAGAACCAGTTGTTAAATTACTTGAATCCCACCACTGTATATAGCGATCAACTTTCTGAATAAGTGACAGTTGGAAAGCAATAGCAAAATTCATCATCACTATTGACATGTAATGGCAAATACTTGACAAGACTTGAGAACTAACATTTGACTTACTTGATTGTCCATGAGAAAGCCAATAGAAAATTGCAATTAAGAAGGGATTTCCTAGGGTCTATTAAGAAATTTTGAGTTGTTCAGAGAATTGGTAAATACCACCTCTGACAGGCCCCGCCCCATCTATTCTCTACCTCCCAAGTCCCAGCTGATTGGGAGGAAATGGGGATTTTGCAGTAACCTTCCCCGGGAGTGGGGAGGGAATGGAGATTTTACAGTATCCTTCCCCTGCCATGTGAGCCAAGCCAAGCCTTGCCCACCAAGCCACACCCACAGAACTGGTAGTAATGAGCTGCCTTCTGGCCAGGAAATCTAAGATAAGATAGGATCTTTATTGTCATTTTTTTCTGTGGGCATTCTGACACACATTAAAAATGAAATTCTATTGCCTGCTCTGAAAAGTATACATATACATAACACACTTCTAGACATGCTATATACATACATATGTATATACTTACAGCAAAATATATATAAAGAAATATAAATATTAGTCACTGTCCATCTTGAATACATAGCTGAAAGAGGAAGCTTGAGAGTTCACAAGGTTGATACTGTATGGACCAAAACTGTGGCTGAATCTGGATGTTCTGCTTCGGATACCACGAAACTTCCTCCCAGAAGGTAACAAGGAAAACAGATCATGAAGGGGATGTGTAGCGTTTCAGACAATACTGCAGCAGATCCTACTCAAGCAACGCTTATATGCTATATCCTGGATAGATGTAAGCAACGCTTATATGCTATATCCTGGATAGATGTATAGAGACTATATGTCTATTTTAAAACAAATCTATAATGGCCAAAGAGGGGAAAAGATTCCTCTGCATATTAAAATGAGATTCAATTCTTCAACAATACACATTCTGGAAACGATGTTTCTGAATGTGAAGAAGACAAGGCATGTCTCTCAAAAGCATACTAATAGAAGATAAATGCTATAAATAATCTGCTTGTTAGAAAAACATATGGTGTTACTGTGGGTACTACCTGGCATGTGAGGTTAATTCTAGTTCTGTGGCTGAGGTCACAGAAGATGGAATGATTCTGCTTGATTCTACAACAAAGATCAAAGATCTCAGAGTGGTGGGATGGAAGTCTCTGGAGAGATTCCTGGTCAGAAATGTCATGGTCAAAGCTCTGGCAAGCAAGATAGATCGGACCAGAGAAGATTGCCCTCGCCTCTCTGCCATGATCAGCTCTGAGACATCCAAGAGACATAGTGGATTATGACTGTATGCCTAATCAGCAACTTCTTGTATTACATTCACTTCACTGTCTTCTTCAGACACTGACTAAGCAAACTGATCCTCCTGTAGATACATAGGCTACTCTACACTGCCTAGTGTCTATAGGAGACCTGGGCATTTTACAGCTCCAGGCAGAGGTGGGTTTCACATAACTTTACCACCGGTTCGCCGCACAATGAAAACGTGAGCGCACACACACCTTTTGCACATGCACACGGCCTTCCGCGCCTGTGCTTTGCTCATGCGCGCAGCTTAGAAAACTTGGCTAAATAGGATGACATAGCGCTGGGGCGGGTGGGCAGGGGCAGGGCAGCCCACCCACAGGTTACCACTACCGGTTCGCCTGAATCGGTCCGAACCGGCTGAATACCACCACTCCAGACCACATTTGATTTTCTCTGTGCAGCCTACATGAGGTCAATCAGAAATTAGAAATCAAATGTAAATACCGTATTTTTCGGAGTATAAGATGCACCTTTTTCCCCCCTAAAAGGGGGTGAAAATTTAGGTGCATCTTATACACCGAATGTAGCCCCGCCCACCCACTGGCCGCCACCCTTTGGCCTCTGCCGCGCAGCAGTTACCTCCTTGCAAGCAAACAGCAAGAAAAAACAGCTCCTTTCATCTTCAGCACAGCCTCATTAGCACAAGTTGATTAGATCGGCCTCCCGACTCTTAGCTGTTATGCTCTCAGCTGTTTTGCCCTGGCCTCTGCTGCTTGCTGCAAGGAGGTAAATTGCTGTAGCAGATTTTTTTTTTCTTGTGCTAATCAAACTATGCTGAAAACGAAAATGAAAGTAAAGCAGGCTGTTTGCTGTTTGCTGCAACAAAGCAAAATTGCTCAGAGGCAGACGCAGAGGGAGATTTCTTTTTCTTCTTTTCCTCACCAAAAAAAGGTAGGTGCGTTTTATACTCCGGTGCATCTTATACTCCAAAAAATACAGTTAAGTATATGCCATGCATACAATACAACTGTGTTAGTTTTATTTTTAAGGCAGGTGTTATTTTTTCCCCCCAATTTACATATGTGCGTGGGTGTCAGTCTCCGCCTTTACTGCTTTGGCTGCCAAAGTAACAGGAGGGGGGAGAGCTAGGTAGCATGGGGGGGGGAGCCTGCTGGAGGAAACGAAACCGATAGTTAAGCCACCGGACTGTATCTTTGAAGCTGCCATCGGGCCAACGGTCGTGGCATTCCTGATTGATGACGCTGCCAGACGTGTGCTTCCACCTGACCCCTGGGAGACTTTTGGATTGGATGATTTACGGTGGACAGTGGGAGGGGATGCTTTCTATATGCAATTTTCGCGCGCATTGCCTTAGATTCTGCTTTCCTTTGGTTGCGTTCATTTCATTTTCTAGTAAAAGTACCTTTCTCTATAAACAATGGAGTTTGGGTCATTCTTTCCTGGACTTTGAAGGAAGCACACCTGACAGTGGGTGCATGACTACGTATCTTTAGAGCCCAGTTGGTTTGACCCTCCACAAAACTCCCAATTTCTCATGATAAGGAGAATCCAAGACCTCGGTGCCTTCCGCCGTGCCCTTAAAACTTTCCTTTGCCAGCAAGCTGGGCTGGCTAAAAAATTTTTTAAATGTTTTTAATTGGTTTGTCACTTTTTAAATTATGGGGCCAAATAGATATATATTCTTTTAATTGTTTTTAATGTTTGTATTTTATGTTTCTTATTTGTGGCTGTACACCGCCCTGAGTCCTCCAGGAGAAGGGCGGTATATAAATTCGAAATAAATAAACAAATAAATAAATAAATAAATGCAAAAATTAATTGCCCACCATGGGTCTATAGCAACATATTAAGCACCGTACCCAGTAGGACTTGTTTCTGATTAAATGTCTTAAAATGGTTTTGTATGGCCGTGTTTATGCATAAAGCTCTTATTCGTCTCAGTTCGTGTATGACTCTGGACAAAGAGGACGTTAAAAAATCATAACTATTTTTTTTAATATATAACTCAAGATGGCAGACATATCTAATACTCCGGTGTCCTAAATTACCCACAACAATCCTATCAGATGGGTTGGGTTGATAGAATAACTGATCCAAAGTCAGCTGGTTTTCATACCTAAAGGACACCTAGAACACAGACTCCTGGTTTGTGTCCTCTGTGAGGTGAGTTGGGCTGAGAGAGAATGAGTGGCCCAAGGCCACCCAGCTGACTATCATGACTAAGGCAGGACTTTTTTTATTGATTTTATTGATTTTATTTTATTTGTCAAGAACATATTAGGCAATATATATAAGTATAAGCATGAATTGAATACATAAAATAGATACGAATAGAGGAAACATTAGGACAGGGATGGTAGGCACGCTGGTGCTCTTATGCACGCCCACTGCTTTCTAGCCTGGTGCCTTAACCACTAAACCACTAGACATGTGATGGCGAACCTATGGCACGTGTGCCACAGGTGGCACACCGAGCCATATTGGTGGGCACCCAAGCATTGCCCTAGCTCAGCTCTGGCGTACGCATCTGATTTTCAGGCCTTCCGGGACCACTGGCAAGTGGTTGGTGGTCCTGGTTGGCAAATGGGCCGTTTCCAGCCTCCGGAGGGCCTCCGAGGGGGAGGCCATTTTCACCCTCCCCAGACTCCAAAAAAGCCTCTGGAGCCTGGGGAGGGCGAAAACGGGCCTACTGAGCCCACTGTGCCATCGCGTACCAAAAGTGGGGGGAGCATGGGGGGGGTCGCATGCGCATGCACAGGGGGGGTGGGATACATTGAATTATGGGTATGGGCACACGCACACATGACCCCCCCATGCTCCCCCACGCTTTTGCGGTAAAAAGTTTAGCCATCACTGAACTAGACCAAACCAGCTCTAAAATAAACAAATAAATCCCCTTTCTGTTATAAACTAGCTTCACTAATCAGGTCAGATTCCCACTCTCAGGAACATTTACATTCACACAGAGCTTCTGTGTCCAACCATTCGTTCTCTTAAAAATAAATCTAGTCAAATTTCACAGAGTCCATCAGTTGATGTTCTTGTCATTTAGAAATATACTCTGCCTTTTGCCTAAGAGCAAAAAGTAGCTTGGATAAAGGTATCCTTTCATTTTATCCCACAACGATAACTCTGTAAGATAGAGCAGGAGAAAGTCACCCAAATGAATATCCATGGCTGAGAGCGACACTTAAGCAAGGGTGTCCCTGTATTGGTTGAACACTATAACCACTATAGCATAATGGCACTTTCATCAGTCAATTGCTTCACACCTGACAAAACTAAATCCTTCCTTATAAAACACCTCAATTAACTTGGAGAATTCACCACGAACAGACCTAATTGAATGTCACACACTTGGATGGCATAGTTGAAGAAGTAATGAGCCTGACACATTTTCAATAGTTATAAGCCATTAAGGCTGAAAGAAAGCTATAATAACAAGGCATATCTGAATGTTTGCCAAAGAAAACTGACTGGTTGTGTCCATGTAGTCATCAGCAGAGCTCATCTTGAAAGAGCCTTTACCATTAAAGCTAAGTCATATTCTACTGCAATACATTAGGAAGTTTGGGGTTGCGTTACTTTTTGTCTTACATTTAAAAAAAAAAGGCTTAGGAAAGGAGAAAAGAGGTCTAAAGACAAAAGATCAAAACTGAATGCACTTAAAATTATCTTACTTGAGTCATTCAAACTGCTATTTGCTCATCACTGCATATTAGAATGTCAATTGAATTGATTTGAATAAAAAGCCTATTTAAACAGGCCTCAGCTAGCATAACATTTCCTCTCTGGCTGAGAATTGAGACACACACACACCCTCCTTTTTTTACTAAGAGAAACACAGGGCCAGTTTGGTCTAGTGCAGGGGTGTCAAACTCAAGGCCCGCGGACCAGATCTGCCCCACGGGGTGCTTAGATCTGACCCATGAGGCCCCGCTGGAAACAGTGAAGGACCGGCCTGCAGTGGCTCTGCCAGCAAAAATGCAGCTCCGTGTTTGCTGGCAGAGGGTTGCAGGAAGCCGTCACAGTAGAAAACGGAGCTCGGGAGAGATCCGCGCAGAGAATTGCAGGAAGGCCATAGGAGGGCCTCGTGCAGCCTTCTGACATGAAAACGGAGCCCCATGTTCACTGGCAGAGGGCTGTGGGAAGTCGTCGCAGTCGAAAACTGAGGTCTCCCTGGTGGAGAGATTCTCTTCCTCTGCTGGAAACAATGGATCCCCCCAGCCCTGCCCGGGCCACCACAGGTGTCCCCGACATGAGTAATGTTGAGCTGGCCACGCCCACCGTGGCCATGCCCACCTGCCCCCCTGAGGTCATACACAACCCTGATGTATCCCTCAATGAAATCGAGTTTGACACCCCTGGTTTAGTGGTTAAGGCACCAGGCTCAAAAGAGGGGGCCTGTGAGTTCTAACCCAGCCTTAGCTAACCTTGGGTGACTTTGGGTCAGTCACTTTCACTCAGCCCAACCCTCTTCAAAGGGTTGTTGTTGTGGAGAAAATAGGAGGAGGAAGGTGTTTTGGATATGTTCATTGCTTTAAGTTATCTGTAAAAATAATAAAGGTAGGATACAAACAGTGGTGGGTTTCTACCTGTTCACCATAGTTGGCGAGAGCCAGTAGCTCCAATGGTGAGCTGAGAGTGAACCGGTTCGCTCCGACCATCAGCTGGGCCTGCCTGCCCACCCCTGCGCTATACCTAACTGTATTAATTCGTTATTAGCCCAGCTGATAGGCACGGCAGAGCGGATTGCTGTGCCT